CTGCCCTCTGCTAAGACCTCATGCTCTCACAGGTAATAGAGAGATTGCAGGCATGGGAAACAGTAGGGACCCTGAAAACCTCCTTCCCTTGTCATACTCTGCCATGTTCCCTGTTCCTTCGCTACTAGGTGGATGCTGTTGGTGATTACAGTTTGTATATTAATGGGTTTTTATATGAAACTAGAGGCCCGATGCACGAAATTCGTGCAAGGGGCTCGGCCCTCACAGCCCCGGCTGCCTCAGCCAGCCCTCGAAGCCCCAGCTTCATCTGGAAGGTCGTCTGGAAGGACATCTGCAAGGTCGTTCAGCTGTTCTGTCTAATTAGCATATTAGCTCTTTATTATATAGGATACTAGAGGCCCAATGCATGAAATTCATGCATGGGTAGTGTCCGTAGGCCTGGCTGGCAATCAGGGCCAATTGGGGCCTTTTGGCTGCCAGCCGGGGCCTTCCTTCATTTCATGCCACCCCATGATGGTCAGCATATGTCATAGCGAGCGGTTGAACTCCTGGTGGGTCAAACTCCCAAGGGGACAATTTGCATATTAGCCTTTTATTATATAGGATGTTTGGTTGGAAAAGAAAGGTAATCAGAGGGTTATCTATAGGAGATAGATATAGATGTACATATAGGTACAGATAGAGATACAGAGACAAATAGAGATAAGAGATAGAGATAGAGAGAGAGAGAGAAAGAGAGAGAGAGAGAGATTATCTCCATGCATAATTGGAGAGTTTAAAAGTTTAAGTTTCCAGGTTTGTTGAAGTAAGAGTAGAATAATTTCCTCATGCTTCAACCTACTTGATTTTAGTAATTTAACAGCTTGACTACAGTGACTCCATTTTGTTCTTCCATCTTTCCTCAAAGTGTAGGATCAAACCTTGGGGACTCAATATTTAGAATCAAGCAGAGGAGGTTGAGATTGCAAAGGAGACCCAAGAAGCCAAAAATGTTAACAATGACTGTGGAGTGCTGTGGAAGCATTGTACATTTATAGTACTTTTACAATTGAGTGGAAATTTTTAAAGAAAAAAACAAAACCCTTTTATGACCCCTAACGTTAATTAACTTTCTAGATTTTGAAATAGTACCTGAGGGCAAGAGGTGATATTCTAAATATTTTACTAGCAGGACTTCGGAGCACCAACACTTTGATGGCAACTGGAGCAGAGAGGGGTCTCAGAGGCCCCTGCCAGGCACTAACTCTGTGATTGCTGGATCCCAAAGAAGTGCAGAGAAGCTGGGTGGCAGGGGACAACATAGGGGGGACCTTGGGAAAGCTGCTATTCAGTGATTGAGCAGTACTGGAGCTTACTACTGAATACAAGCCCTGCCTAAGGATCCCTACCAGCAATCCCCTACCCCCCTCACCCCCACCCTCCCACACACACGCACGTACTCTCTGCCTGCTCATTTCCCCAAACTCTTTTATCTACCACAGCAATTTATTCATCATTTCTTGTGAACTCCTTGCATTTTCACATCTTCATGATCTGCCCTATGCCTAGAATGCCTTTCTTCTCCTTATTTGGCAACTTTCTTTGAATCTTTGAAGACCAAGGTAAAATACCACCTCCTCTGTAAAATCCTCCTTCACTTCCCAAGGCAAAATTATTTGCTTTCTCATCATCATTCCATGCACTTTATACATACTTTCTCCCCCCAAATAGGTTTGTATTGATTTTTATTTTTTTAATATAATATAACCATTTTATTTATTTATTTTAAATATATTTTTATTGATTTCAGAGAGGAAGGAGAGGGAGAGAGAGATAGAAACATCAGCTGCCTCCTACATGCCCCCTACTGGGGACCCCCACAACCCTTGACCGGAATCAAACCCTGAGCCCTTCAGTCTGCAGGCCGATACTCTATCCACTGAGCCAAACCGAATAGGAACATGTTTGTACTGATTTTAGAGAGCGAAGAAGGGAGAGGGAGAAACATCCATCAGCTGCCTCCTACTGGAGACCAAAGCCACAACCCGGGAATGGAGTCAGTGACCCCATGGTACATGGGACAATGCTCAACCAACTGAGCCACACCGCCAGGGCAAATACTGTTTTTTGCGGTTTTAAAATTATTTATTTTTAAATTTTAAAAATAATACTGTTATTTTAAAAACAGCTCAGCAACATCTCTCTCTCACTGTGCCCGATTCAAAGGGAAGGCTCAAATGTTTTCTGCTAGGGAAGAAGGTGGACACAGCGGGGATGAGTTTGGAGGGGGGCACGCAGGGATGTGGTGGTGGTGGAGGGCTGGTTTGAGGAACACAGAGTGTAAGTGGAAATCAAGTTGAGTCCTGATAATGGAATGGTCTATAGAATATTTCAGAAGGAGGAGTTCCGGTGAAACCGGAAACCACTTCAATGAAATCAGGTTTCAACAAAAAGGGCTGAGGTTAGTCGAGAAGGTGGTTTTCCTTTGAAACTGGTGGCTCAGTGTGGTCTCCTTTAAGAGGAAAGAACTATAGTCTAGGTAGGGGGTTGGAATTCTGATACACTGACCCTGGACCCCCAACATCCTTGAAGCAGGGACCTCGGAAGGAGGGCCCTGCTGACAGGTCAGATGTCACAGTGCTTGGCTTGGGCACTCTGCGGACAGCCGCCTGGCTCTGCCGCTTGCCAGCTGCATTGCCTTAAGCAAGTCACTCAACCTCTCTGTGCCTCCATTTTCTCTACTGTAAAATGGGGCCAATGATAACACCTTCCCTCTAGGATCTTTGTGAGGCTTCAACCAGACAATACGTGAAGAACTTAGTACAGTGTCCAGCGCATGGTGAGCACTGGAAGGAGGCAGTCCCCACAGTGAGGGACAGGGTGGTATCTGGAGCCACGAAACTGGTTGTGGAGGAGTCACTGATGCCTGCCAGCCCTGAGTGACAGTCACAATTCAGGGAAGAGGCAGCCGCTGGCTGGGGGTCGGGGTGGTGGCTGGGAAATGGTCTGAAGAGAGTTAGCAGTGTCATTGCTCAATCCAACCAGTGGAGCTCACACTTCCTGTTTTCAGTGTCTGTGAGCCCTGATGCTAGAGCTGCTCAAGTTGGAACAGGATCTGCTTGGCCCCTGGGGGGGAATGCAGAGGTTGAGCAGCAACTCAGTCTGGGCTGGGCCCCTTAGCTTCACAGCACTCCTTTTCTCTCCTCACACTGCATTGGTGTGTTTCAGCTCACCCAAAACACACCAATGCCATCCTAGGGTGGTAGAGGGGAGTAGGGTCCATTCAGTTCCCCAAGAATTTAAGTGGCTTTGCAATAATAGCCACTATTTTTGAGCCTTTACTAGGTGCCAGGATTATGCTGAGAGATTTATGAACTCATGAATCCTTATAATAATCCCAGGAGGGAAATAGTATTACCTCTTTTACAGATGAGGAAACAGGGGCACAGAGAGGTTAAGATTCTTTCCTAAATCACACAGCTAGTGTTAGAGCCAGGATTCCAGTCCTGGCCACCTGACTCCAAAATCCATGCTCTGAAACCACTACATCTTACTGAATAGGACAACGTGCTAGACTATGGGGATTAAAGACTGAATATTTGGGCGCTTTCCTTCCACCTGCAGTGGATGGTCCATCAGCTTCTGATCAAGAGGAACAAGCAGATGTGAACCCAATAATCCGAAAGCCCACAACTCCTTTCGCTACAACAGGGTGATTCACCACAAGACAGTGGGCGTGGAGCCTGCGGCCCACGGCAAAGGTGTGGTCGTCATGAAGTGGAGAATCGGGTAGTTAAAACTGGCCACCTCCTACATGCGGACCACCATCGACAAGAGCGCAGGGTCCGGCACGTGATCCACAGGAACAATTACCACCCGGATCGGCCCCTGGCCGCCATGCACAGGGACAGCTGCACCCTGTGCAGCCAGAAGCCCGTGAAGGTGAGGAGGAAGTGCTGTCCCACCAAGAGCTCCTGAGCTCCCTCCACCCCCAAAGCAATAAAGGTATCAGCCAACTTTCCAAAAACAAAAAGCTGAATACGCTGGGTCCTTGCCCTCCCGGGGCCCTAGGGAGCCCAGGAGACCTGGCACCCCCAAACCCCATGCAGGAAACTGTTTATGCAGAGAACACACGCTGGCCACATCTTGAATTTACTGGGCACTTCACATAATCTGGCCAATTGCCCCCAAAAGATATTCACTCAGGTGCTTATCGGAAACACCTGAGCTTTTCAAACCCACAAAGCCTGGCACGAGCCCTGACCTGCATCACAATCTCTGTGGGTGGAATATAGGCACGTCTATTTTTTTAAAAGGCTCTCAGGTGACTTGGGTAAGAAACACTGCCAAACCCATTAACACCGCTTGGAAACTCCAGTATTTGGGCATCCAACCCTCTCTCCCAGCCTGCCTTCTATACTCTCGTTCTTTAGAAGCTGATGTTTGGTTCAAAATATATGCTCACCTCCATTAGGATACCAACCAGCGTCAGACTCTGAGCCACCTGACCGTAGGAATAGCAATGGCAGGTCAGGAGCTCCATGAACAGGTTGAGAAAACTCAGCACCAGCCCCACAGTTAATGGGCAGTTACGTTTTCTGTTCCCTGAATGCCAACAGACTCGAGCTGAGCTGGGTTTGGGATCAATAATTTTCACTCATACAGGTGCTCTGCTTGGTTGAGGTCAGCCCTGGGGTTGTTGGGGGCAGAGTGCAGAGAATACGGTGAGACTAACACTAAAGAGGATCACCATGCAGCTGTATAAGATGTGCGCTGCGCAAAAGCATCAGGCCAAGGAGGCCATTGGGGTCGATACCCAGCCTGCCACCATTGACCCAACTGCGGGTCCCTGGCTTACAACTCCTTTTGTACCTATGTGCCATGGAGGGCCTAACCTAGAACTCTCCTAGCTACTTCCCAAAGCCTCATTAACTCCAGAGATGCAGCCCCCAAAGAAACTCTGAGGTACATGCCACCATGGTCATTCTCTGCTTTTTATGCTCCCCAACTCCCTCCCATACCAACACCGGGGGAGAACGAAAGTCTTTAGAAAAATCACATTTTATTAATCATCTTTATTCAAAATTATAAAAATAGATATAAATAAAAATAGCAGAATATAATTATTAAATATTCAGTGTACAGGAGTGGTCCTCACCCCACTCAGTGAGGATTGGATGCATTTGGCTGATAGGTCAGAAGGGACAACTCTCCAAGAAAGGGACGTTTATGTGAAAGTGAAACTGAAATTGTAATGCTGGTCACGAGCCATGCCCAGAATGATACATTCCTAGGCAGCATCACATTGGAGACCCAAGAGGCCCCAGGAGTGACCCATGACCTCTCCTGACTGGTCATTCTATGTGGCATCACAGTCCATACAGTTTAGGGAAATATCTAGACTTACAATTAGACACAGGAACACCAGCTCTTACTTCATTCTGACTCCTCACAGCCTGAACATAAGTGTGCAAATATACACATGCATAGATAATGTTTCCTGATACATTCATGGAATGTCAGAGCCCTACCCTCAAGTTATTAATGTCCCTGCTCCCCAAACCACTGTTCCCACATTGACCAAGCTCCCTCAAGACACCTCAGTTCTGTTACACTTCCTAATTGGGAAATGATTCATTTCCCAATAATAGGCCTCATGAATGCCCTCTGTTGGGGGAGCTACCTCTCCTTCCCATGCATAGAAGATGTCATGTTTATCTCCAGAAGGCTTTAATCCAGAAAAAGACAAACTACTGGTCAGTACCATCCTGGACCAGGACCACCCCTCCATCCTGGCCAGAGGGGATCTGGGCATCCAGCACCCAGTCCTGAATCTGCGGATAAAGCCATTGCTGCTCACCCTGGTGGGCAGCACAAGCAAAACCATCTCTGCAGAGCCTATCTTCCTCAGTCTCTTCCTTATATGTGGCTGGTGCAGATGGAGCTACTGCAAAAATGACGGTCAGCGTGGGAGTGGGTGATGCTCCTCTCCTCCCTTGGCTCCCTGGGGGCCCCCAGAGGGCTAGGCCATTCAGGGGGCTAGGCCATTCTCTTCCCCGGTGTTAGTGCGGATCCAGGACAGGAAGTGTGAGACCCTCGTGTAGACACCTGGCTTGTCCTTCATGGCACATTCGCGGCCCCAGCTCACAATCCCAGTCAGAGTCATGCGGTCTTGAACGGGGCAGGCCAGGGGCCCCCCTGAGTCTCCCTGTTAAGCCAAAAACACAAAAAGTGAGCCCTGGAAGAAGTTATAAATTAATGATTAATTAATTAGAAGTTAATGATTAATAAAATGTGATTTTTCTAAAGCCCTGGAAGGGGGCCATCGGATCCTACGACCCAGTTATACCCAAGATAGACGGGAGAGCTTTCCAAAATCAAAGTCCTTAGGGACTCCCCATTTCCTACCATATCAAGTTCAAAATCCTCTGGTTGGCTTTCAAAGCCCTACTATCTGCCACTATTCCACCGATATTCCCAGACCCTATCTCTCTCCCATCCTGGAATATGCTGTGCTCACTCTCATTTTTGTATCTTGCAACTGAAATGCTCTCCAGTCTTCCCTCTGCCTCCTCAAATCCCTATTGAGCCACATCCTCTTTACAGCCTCCCCTCCGTGACCATCTAGTTGGCACTCAGCTCCCTCCCCTAAACATCTGATCATTTATCATCAACACCACACTCTGAACACTGAGCTACATTATGTTCTACTGTTTCTTCTTAGTCCTCCTCTCTCCCGCCACCTGAAGCGCCTAGCACAGAGAGAGGCTGACAAGTGTTTGGTAAAAACGTAAGAATTGGTTTAAACCTAAAACTTGAGCCCCTGATTCTGGCTTCCTATGGCTTTGGCTGCAGAGGCTCAGGAGCCCTGGAGAGAGGTGGGGATCATGGAGAGAGATGCTTAGAACTCTCACCTGGCAAGAATCTGTTGTCCACGCTGGGTCAGCAGCACACAGCATTTTGGTGGTGACTTCAGAGCCATAGTAGTGGGGCTGCTGACACTCCCGGTGGGAAACCAGTTCCACCACAGTCATTTTCAGCTGATCTGGATAGAGGTAGTCAGCTAGATGGAAGAAACATGGAGATTTTTATGTTAAGCTGTGTCTGCCCAGCCCTTCTAATGGGACCCTCTGCCAGGGAGGGGACCAAAAAGTATTCCTACCAGGGAAAGCCCCTACTCTTTTTCCACCCAAATCTGAGTTTTTAGCCCAGTTATAGCCCCTCACCCTCCACTTATTTACCTTTATGGTTCATCATTCCCTAAACAGTGATCCCCACTCCATCTCTGGACTCATCTGCTACCTCCACGATGCTCCTTTTCTACCTCCACAGTCCTCCCTTAATCAAGCTGCACTCACTTCCAGCTGACACCACTTCCCCAGGACCCCTCAGCCAGTCCCAAAGGTCACTTACAGGTGTTCTCTTTTCCGAAGCCAGCGACCTCACAGCTTGTGCCGGAACGAGCATCCCCATCCATGGGGGGCAGGCAGATGGTCTGTATGGACCGGGATGGCTGTGCGCACTGGCCCGAGATGGAAATGATCTTCAGCAAGGCTGGGGGAGGGGGAAGGGGTCAGAGGGGAAAGATCACCACCTGGTCAGGCAGTCACCATCTCTGCCCTCCAAATGCTGAGGGAGCAGCTGTCCATCCCTCAGTCAGTTAGGGTCAGAGGTCATCCCGGGAGGTGTGCTGGTAGGATGAAACAAGTTTCCCTTGTCCCATGCCTCATGGGCTTTGTTGCAGCCACGGACAAAGGCGTGGGCAGCCAGGGCTACTGCATACAGCTGTACGAGGGCGTTGGTTTTTTTCCTACGAAAAGCCCTGACTGAGGTAGATGGGCTGAAATTCAGCCCAATGCTCCGTCAAAGTTCTCTATCCTGGGACAGAGTCTGCCTCCAACAAAGGAAGGGGCATCCCAGCCTAAGCCACTGCCCACAGGGCCACTGCCACCCAGGGAGGGCTACCTGTTTGGAAATTCAGGGACTCTACAGGGGAGCACCCTAACCCTTGCCCACTGCTGCCTTTGTTGTGTAAAGTAGGGTCTTCAAGTTCCCCTGCAACCTCAACCTCCCTCTTGAGTCTCTTTTTGAACCCCTCCTCTCTGGGTCATCATCATGATAGCGCATGAGGGTTTTCCACTCACCTATATCATTGTGGTGAGCAAGAGTGTCCGCGCTGTAGTCCTCATGCAAGATGAGCTTTTCCACCTCGAACTTCATCTCGCCCCGGGTGTTGGCGTTCAGCTTTGACCGACCCAGGTAGACAATGTAGTCCTGCTTCTTTGGGTTATTACTGTGGGAAAGGAGGTCCTGTCACTTCCGAGCCCTCCCACCACAGTGACCTTGGAGCATGACTTGTCCCCAGGGCTCTGGGCCATAAGAAAGGGCTTGAGAGGGTAGAATTGAAGTGAAATCCTTTGCCGGGAAGGGGAAAGGGATGTGTCTGGGGTAGGGCAGGAGGGCCAGGGAGAAGAGACAGAGGGACGTACATGAAGCAGTGTGTGGCGCTGACCACCCAGCAAGGACTGATGAGGCTGCCACCGCATACGTAGGTGACAGAACCTCCACGGTGCTTCCTATAGATGGCTGCAAACCAAGGCTGGTCCTCAGTGTTGGTGAATCTTCCCCCGACAATCTTAAAGCGGGGCCTCAGAGCCTTCTGACCACACTGAAACCCTGCGTTTGCAGGAGGATCTCTTCCTGGAGGAGAAAGAGGGGGGTGTCTTAGGAAGATAGGTAGGATAAAGTGTCCCTCTCCTCATCCTCTGACCTCCCAGTTTTGGGGGGCCAGGCAAGCCTCCATCCTCATCCCTCCTGTGATGGAATAAGGGGATATAGGAATATGTCCCCTTTCACCCACTATCCTAAACAGGTTGGTGACACTCACCTGCAGAGCAGTCGTTCACCATGCACTCTTGGATATGCTGATTTCGGCCAACCTGCACATAGCACCAGGGCTTTCTCTGGTTGTCTGGGTTCCTGGCAACACAGACGGGAGAGGGGTGTCATTTCCACACAGAATGTCTTTCCTGCATCCTCCCCTCCAAGAAAGACTCAACCAGAGGCCTGGCTATTCTCACGTTATGGCCAGCACTCTGGGAGCACAAGGGCTTGTTCAGAAGGGCTCTGTGAGGCCATGGGGAAGGTGCTTGCTGCCCCCACCTCACCTGCAGTAATTGTGTTTCCCCAGGCCCAGCTGGAGGGCATCAGGTCTGTGGGCATGGTACGTTTTCAGAACGACATTGGCAGAGTTCCAGGGCAGGCAAAGCCGGCCCGTGAAGCCGGTGTTGGCCGTCCCTCGGTAAGAATGACCATTTCCCTGGTAGCAAGTGGCCGACGTATCTATGGAAGGATTTGAGGATGAGAGAATATCAGAAAGAGGAGGAGGTTCAGGCAGGCATTTCAGAGATCCTGCCAGGCCTCCGTGACTTCAGGCCTGGCGGAAGACACCAGAAAAAGTCTCCTTCCCTCCTACTTCACATGTGTGCAGCCACAGCTTACAAGCAATGTGTGTTTACGTGTTTGACTCTGCCCTCCCAGTGCTGAGGGCGCAGCCGTCTAAAGTTCCCCTGCAACCTCAACCTCCCTCTTGAGTCTCTTTTTGAACCCCTCCTCTCTGGGTCATCATCATGATAGCGCATGAGGGTTTTCCACTCACCTATATCATTGTGGTGAGCAAGAGTGTCCGCGCTGTAGTCCTCATGCAAGATGAGCTTTTCCACCTCGAACTTCATCTCGCCCCGGGTGTTGGCGTTCAGCTTTGACCGACCCAGGTAGACAATGTAGTCCTGCTTCTTTGGGTTATTACTGTGGGAAAGGAGGTCCTGTCACTTCCGAGCCCTCCCACCACAGTGACCTTGGAGCATGACTTGTCCCCAGGGCTCTGGGCCATAAGAAAGGGCTTGAGAGGGTAGAATTGAAGTGAAATCGTTTGCCGGGAAGGGGAAAGGGATGTGTCTGGGGTAGGGCAGGAGGGCCAGGGAGAAGAGACAGAGGGACGTACATGAAGCAGTGTGTGGCGCTGACCACCCAGCAAGGACTGATGAGGCTGCCACCGCATACGTAGGTGACAGAACCTCCACGGTGCTTCCTATAGATGGCTGCAAACCAAGGCTGGTCCTCAGTGTTGGTGAATCTTCCCCCGACAATCTTAAAGCGGGGCCTCAGAGCCTTCTGACCACACTGAAACCCTGCGTTTGCAGGAGGATCTCTTCCTGGAGGAGAAAGAGGGGGGTGTCTTAGGAAGATAGGTAGGATAAAGTGTCCCTCTCCTCATCCTCTGACCTCCCAGTTTTGGGAGGCCAGGCAAGCCTCCATCCTCATCCCTCCTGTGATGGAATAAGGGGATATAGGAATATGTCCCCTTTCACCCACTATCCTAAACAGGTTGGTGACACTCACCTGCAGAGCAGTCGTTCACCATGCACTCTTGGATATGCTGATTTCGGCCAACCTGCACATAGCACCAGGGCTTTCTCTGGTTGTCTGGGTTCCTGGCAACACAGACGGGAGAGGGGTGTCATTTCCACACAGAATGTCTTTCCTGCATCCTCCCCTCCAAGAAAGACTCAACCAGAGGCCTGGCTATTCTCACGTTATGGCCAGCACTCTGGGAGCACAAGGGCTTGTTCAGAAGGGCTCTGTGAGGCCATGGGGAAGGTGCTTGCTGCCCCCACCTCACCTGCAGTAATTGTGTTTCCCCAGGCCCAGCTGGAGGGCATCAGGTCTGTGGGCATGGTACGTTTTCAGAACGACATTGGCAGAGTTCCAGGGCAGGCAAAGCCGGCCCGTGAAGCCGGTGTTGGCCGTCCCTCGGTAAGAATGACCATTTCCCTGGTAGCAAGTGGCCGACGTATCTATGGAAGGATTTGAGGATGAGAGAATATCAGAAAGAGGAGGAGGTTCAGGCAGGCATTTCAGAGATCCTGCCAGGCCTCCGTGACTTCAGGCCTGGCGGAAGACACCAGAAAAAGTCTCCTTCCCTCCTACTTCACATGTGTGCAGCCACAGCTTACAAGCAATGTGTGTTTACGTGTTTGACTCTGCCCTCCCAGTGCTGAGGGCGCAGCCGTCTATCACTAGGTCCGTTAGGGTCCGAGGTCATCCTGTGCTGGTAGGACCCAATGTGTCTATCACATTGCATAGGGATGCTGCCCCCCCACTCCACCTCCACCTCCTACCCCCTGCCTGCTCTTGCATCCAACTCATCTCTCCCTGCCCCCAAATCTCTTGTGCCCCCTCCTCCTTCCAGACAGAGTAGGATCTCCATACCTATCTCACAGTGTTCCCCCTGGAATTTCTTTGGGCAGTTGCATCGATGAATGTTGGAGAAGTACTTGTAGGACACACATGTTCCTCCATTCAGACAGCCACAGCTTGCTGAAAATCACAAAGGCGGGGGTGAGTAAGCAGGAGCAGGGAGGAGGTAAGCGGGGGAGCCAGCCCTGCATCAGGGACAGGGAAGGGCCGTCTCCCGACGCTTCTCCAAGATGTTTGTGCAGCCAGATATTGTGCAAGGGACGGTACTCACATGCTCCAGAGTCTGCACGGCTGTCCTGGAAAAGATAAGGGGAGGGGAACGGTCACCAAAGGCCCCACACGCCGGGGGGCCTCAGGGTGTGGATAAACTGGCCCCAGTCCCAAAACTCATCCTTCCCTACAGCTCCCTCTCTCCTCACCCCGGTCCTATCTACTAGCCCTCAAATGGAAGGTCGATCATGGGTTTCCAGAGAAGAGAAGTGGCTTGACTCAAGCAAGCTTCACAGATCAGGTGACAGCAGGCTGGGGACGTTGCAAGGGCTTCTTCCTCTCCAACCTGCAACTCCCTTGGTTCTCAAGGCCCCCTCGGCCACACCTGTCCCCTTTCCCCGCGGGTCTGGCCCTGCAGTGGATGGAATCGGGGGGATGGGAGGGACGCACCAGCTCCCTATCAGCCCCTTCCTTCCCCTGGCGCTGTTCTGGGGGGTCGTGCAAGCCCCCTCCCACCGTCATGAGTCAAAGCAGGGACGCCGCTTACCTCGCAGTTGCTCACGACCAGAGCGCAGAGCAGCAGGCACGCCCGCGGGAGTCTCATGGTGGCGAGGCTGGGGCTCCGGGCAGCGGCCTGCGCGGGAAGGAGAGGAAGGAGCA